CTCATTCCAGCAGTCTTACCTCTGCGGTGACCAAGAATCTAAACCAATGGCTACTTGCTCACTTCATCTTTCAGTGCAAATGCTCTCTCTGGCAGCTTTGTGGACAGCTGGGCTTTGGCCAGTTGAGCAGGGGAGATTCATGATCTTATGGCAGATGTTCTTACCTCATCTGTGTTCAAGACAAGGCAATACTCATAGCTTACTCTCAAATCCTGCCCCAGGCAGTGTCAGTGTTTCATCTGAGTCAGGAATGAATTTTCATATTTTGCTCTAATGCGGCTTTTGCTACGTATGCTATTGCCAAACTCCCTCTGCATGCTGCTGTCTTTGAACAACTGGCTCTTCAATCCCTGTACTGCTAAGAGAGAGATGAATGGCTTTTGGTAACAAGCACCACCTGAAGTCTACAACTGTGTGAATAGACAGATAGTTAGTTACTTAAAGGGAAAGAAACTATTCTCTTTTTTTGACATATGTATTCAAGCTCACAACTTGTTCCTCTTCCTTGGAGTTCCCTAATGCTTCTCAGGCTTTCCCAGCTATCAAGGAACTGAGTACAAGAGGAACATGTCTTATGCTTGTTAGGGCCATATAGCATGCATAGAATATAAGGTTTTATTTCGTCCGTACAGGTCCTGGTTAAGTAAAAGTTATTTGGCTTTCTGTGCTTCTGTATGCAAATCTCACGTGAGAATGTACACGCAGAAAAAAAAAAAAATACGAGGTAGCAGTTAAATAACCTCTATAGTCTTTGATGGACTCCTTCAAAGGACTCTGATATGAGATCTGGCACATCAAATCTTTGGGAAACTTTTCCTGTTTAAGCATAAAATTATGAAGTTGACAACTTCCAAAGTGGAGGCAAATAAAGTACTTTGTCATTTTAAGTAGGAAGAATGTTCCAGACATAATCCTATAATCTTCCTTTCCGTCCCGAAGATAGTAACTTCCTCCTCATTTGCACCAGGGACAGAGTTTGGAATTTCTTCATGGAAGCTGCAAAAGTTATGGAAAAAATGGATAAGTACCGATGAAGATTGTTCCTGGTTTGTATACAGATATCGGGAGGCCCTGACATATCTATTAATCAGGTCCAATATGGGAACTCCTGGAAAGCCTGTGGTTGCTGAGGTGCCAGGATCTATTGAAGCTATTTTGCTGTGGGAACTATAATACTTTTATATCTCACTATGTGTTTCAGATATGTCCCCCACAGCAAGGCTGAATCTAGTAAAGCTTTCTTATCTTCTACGCATACAGCAGGGATAAGCTGGTATTTTGCACAGTCCTCATTCTATACATATGCACAGCTCTGGTAGCAAAACTGATTTTTTTTTTTTCCCCCAGTTCCATTTTGCTGTCTTCTTTGGACAGTTGTCCAAAAAAAGATATAAACAGCAACAACAAAACCGAACTGGACTACTAATTTGTATTGACGTAATGTCATATCAGCTAGAAGATAAGACAGACAATTAGCATTGCAGTAATTCTTTTATCTTACATATATATCTGATGTTGGAAGATAAATGTTATGAAAATGTAAACATGAAAAAATTGTGTGTGTGTGTGTGTGTGTGTGTATATATATATGAGATACTGCTTTCCTCTAGAGGAGACATGGTTTGCCACAACAATTTTTTTTCCTGGATGAATATCAACTGAGGTGTAAAATAGGCAGAGCCCATTTGTCTTTGTAGGTGTCAGGTGTTGCTTCTCCCTTGCACTTATTGCTACTCCACCTACCTGAAGCTATAGGAAGGTGAACAAGCAGAATCAGCTTGGGCTTTTGCAGCTTGCTTACTGGAGTCAGCATGACCACCAACAGCCCAGCGTTGAGGAAATATATAGGTAATTTAAAACAAACAAACAACTCTGCAAACATCTTTTCCCAATGTATTGGTATTATATTCTGTATCAAGGAATAGCAGAAAATAGGCCCAAAAGAACAGCCCCCTTTAAAATAAAAAATACATTTAGAATCATATACATCTGATCTAGATTTGAAGAAAGAGCAAAAATAAGAGCTGCGGTTGCCAACATTCTTTTAACCCACTACAGAGTCTTTTCAACAAGACAAGATTGACAATTTTTATTTGCTAAATTTTTAACTCATTAAGAAATGCTAATTGGTCTTTTGCATTCAGTTCACTTTTGAATTGGTTCTCACTTTTTTCTGTCCATTTGCTGTAACTGATGTGTGTAGGTGTCATGTGTGTATGTATGGGTGCTATCCTGGATGTATATTATGTAAGCTAATGTCCTGCTTATCCTGATATACCTCAGCTATTTCCAAAGCAAATACCAAAAAAGTAAACAGAAAACACTGATAAAGCAATTGCTTCCAACTGATGTGTTGAAGAAATTAAAGACTTCTTCCTGAGGTGGACTTTACAGTCAGCCAAGCATCTGACCAGCATCTAAAAATGCAGTTTTACATTATAAATATGATAGGGCAAAGGCTTAACACTGGTGGGGAAAAAAAAATCAAAAATCAAACAAAAACAAAAAGCAAACGGAAAACGACTTCTAAAAGTTTTAATTTTCTTTTCTTCTTTTCTTAAAAAACCTTCCAGGGGGACTGGATAGCTCAAGGGGTTGGTAATAGGATACAGAGCCTTTCATCTCTAGGTCACCAGTTCGCATCCAGGCCAGGTCAGTAGTGACCAAAAATTGTTACCATTTGATGGGTTTTCAGTGACCTATATGAAATAAGTTGTTGGAACCATTGTTGGAACAGTTGCTGGAAGCTCTTCACTTCTTATTCGAGGTGGCTGATCTTTTCGCAGTCTCAGTAGCGAGACTGCATTACCTGTTCATCTAAAGATGTGAGACACACTGATGGCATTTTGTAGAAATCTTTCTTTCTACAACTATTACCAGTTCATAATTGTTACAACAATTATGGTAGCTGTTAGTATTCTGCTGCCTGTTCTGGATCTGTGCTGTGGTCCAATGGATCTCAGGGTTGTTAAAAAGATAACTGCTACAGGCACCTAATTCACACAAGACCATTTTTGTGTGAGCACAGGTAACCTTAATTTATTTCAGTTGCAGGACTATATCCCCATCTTTCTTTCTTGACATCTTTATTTTCAGGTTTTTCACCATGATTAAACAGAGGAATTCAATCAATATAACACATCCAGAACATTTTTAAGGGTGAAGAAAAAAAAAGGGGGGGAAGAAATAAAAAGCTAAGACAAGCACTAGCTGGCCTAGAATTTCAAAGCGGCAATAGCATAATACAGTGTCATAGATCAGGTCAGACTTGGAATAAATTCCAGAATCATTGCATTCCTAATTTTTATTTTGTTCTCAGTTCCATCAAGCTAAGTAGCAACAGATTTCTTCTCCCTACAGGATAGGAAAAAACCATTTCTCTCACTTTTTTGAAAATGGTTTCTTATGTTCAAAATATTACTGGGACCTTGTTAGCCTTTTTAAATGGCTAGTTTATGCATATATCACCTAGATACTTCACATTTTCTATAACAGAAATCTCAAGAAGCAAGCATGCTTCCTTTAAAGTTATCACCAAAAATAGAAGCTGCCAAGAAAAGCTAAATTTTAAAAAATTCATGGTTTTATAAAAGATAAGGCTAATTCTCAGTTACAGAAAGGTCCCATTTCTACTCTCTGGCAGTGGAGGAGGCCCTTAAAATGAGAAGAAAATATGCCCTGAAAATAACATTTCTACCTAAGATCTCTAAACAGGTCCTAATTCCTGGCCATAACATTTGGGAGGAGGAGGGTGCTGAGTGACGAGTAACACAACTACAATACTCCGCTTCCAAAGGCCTTCAAGAGGCTGTGAAATACAGGTAGTAAGATTGAGCAGCTCTGAGTTTGCTCAGAATTATGTTGGTAGTGGGGAAGATCCCTCTATGTTGCAGAAAGCAGGGAACAAAGATGGACTAAGATACCTTAATACGCCCCAAGTATCCATGCCAATCCTTTCCTGTCTTACTGCAGGAATTGGATTACTGAGAATCAGAGCCCTACTATGTATTTTACTTTACCTTCCTACAAGGTCCTAAAACTTCTACAGAGAAAAAAAGTAAAATTTAAAATAAAATATAACTTGGAAATGAGATCTGGTATTGGATACTTCAGGGGAGATGATTGCTCAGCTATTAGCCAAACAAATATCACAAAAATTTTGATAGCTCTGACAGACACATGTGATTAATTACTGTATACATCAGAAAAATACACTTTTTATCTACATAAGTAATTATTGACATCTTGCTTGCAAGGGGCTGAGAAGGCAACTGGCCAAAAATAATTTAAAATGCAAAATCAAAACCCCTAAATATGTCCTTGATATATGTCCTTCTTTAGATAAATGAAGGGTATTACTGACTTAAACTCAATACATGAAACAATAAGACTGGAGCTTGAAATAAATTATGTTGATTCAAGTAGACACATATTGCAAAACTGTCTTGCTTTTCTATACAAAGAAATTAATCTTTGTTATATTCTTGCATGGAACAATAAGGCAATAAAGATATGTATTTAATTCCTGCATAATCCTTTTAATGTAGAGCTTAGTTTCTAGATTCATGGCATTTGTGTTTTCAGCTTAAATTTCAAAGCTATGTTGATCAAATCTACAGGTTGCCATTTTTCTTTAAGCATTTTTAAGCTATAATTTGATACATTTTTAGAATTTTATGTCTGTATTTATATTTAACATGTTTGTCTTTTTTATATAGAACACATCAGTGTCAGGCTTCATCTTACTACCACAAAGTCTTCTCTTTTGTTTTTCTTTTAATTATTTTAATTTTCTCACTTATTTTCTTTTCATTACATATACTAATGTTAAGTATTTAAAAGAACAGTGCAACACTACAGTTATTAATGTACTGCTTTAACATTTATAGTATTAGTTTCTGAACAAGCATTTATTAAGTATTGGTAAAACAGTATACAAAATGTTATTGTTGTAAATATTCTTACACTCTTTTCTTTTTCCCCCTGTATTTGTGTACTAGGTGGTTGTGAATGCCCTTTTAGGAGCAATTCCATCCATCATGAACGTGCTTCTCGTTTGTCTTATATTCTGGCTAATTTTCAGCATCATGGGAGTAAATCTGTTTGCTGGGAAGTTCTACTACTGTGTTAACACCACAACTGATGAAAGGTTTGAAGTCGACCAAATCAACAATTTTAGTCAGTGCGAGGAACTCATAAAAAACAATCAAAGTGCCCGATGGAAAAACGTGAAAGTAAACTTTGATAATGTAGGATTTGGGTATCTTTCTTTACTTCAAGTAGTAAGTGATCACTCTTTATATATACCTCTTACTGTTTATATGTAATAGTGAAAAGCAATTCTAGCAACAAAGACAGAAAACATATTTAACTGATGATTTTTATCTGTGACTTAGTAATACTGCTGCACTGATACTTGATTACTCTTTTCATAGTAAGCAGCAAGTAGAGCCTACTAAGATGAATAAAGAATTTTTAGGCCATCTGACAGAACAAGTGCTATTCTTCCTATTTATAGATCTCTTAGTCCTCCAGCCCCTTCTACCTTTAAAAGTTTCTACAAGTATCTAGGAATGGTATTCAGCTATCTGAATACTTTAACTTTTACTGTTGCTAAAAAAACAAAAATCTGCATTAGTGTGATTAAGTCACACAGAAGAACTCCAGGTAGGAAATCCCCTCTCAGTCATGTGGCTGCCACCATGCAGACTTATGTGAACTAAGAAACAATTTCTCATTCAGAAGAGAAAGAAGAAAAGAAAAATAACATTAGATACTATAATCTATGAAATATTTTCCCTGCTATTTCTGTGCATAAGCACCTAGTGGAGTTTACTTAGCAAAAATGGAGGGAAGAAGAGAAGGAAGACAACATATGCAGAAAGATACTATAAAGTTATGCCTTCAGTATTAAAAATTGTGTCCTCACAATGCTATCTTCGTCTTTTGGAGTAGCTGATAATCTGACCCAACTTAATCAAGAAAATGCTGGACTCTAACCCATATTGTGTGCATTCAGCAACCTCTATGTTTTTTTGAGGTTACTATCTAGTTCTGCAGAATCTTAGTTTTCATTTTTATAGTTTTAAAATAAGTTTCTAGCTTTTATGTTGGCATAAGAAATCTCAATAATACAAATTATTAACATGATACAGTGGTATTGACATGGCCCTGCACAGGGTCTAAAACAATAGTTCTGGGAATTGTGAACTGCCTCTCCCAGCTAATGTAGCATCTCACCTGTGTGGCTGATAACTATGACAATTTAAATTTTACTATGATTAGAATCATAGAATCACAGAATGGTTTGGGTTGGAAAGGACCTTAAAGACCATCTAATTCCACCCCCCCTGCCATGGGCAGGGACACCTTCCACTAGATCAGGTTGCTCAAAGCCCCATCCAACCTGGCCTTGAACACTTCCAGGGATGAGGCATCCACAACCTCCCTGGGCAACCTGTTTCGGTACCTCACCACCATCATAGCGAAGAACTTCTTCCTTACATCTAATCTAAATCTACCCTCTTTCAGTTTAAAGCCATTACTCCTTGTCCTATCACTACATGCCCTTGTAAAAAGTCCCTCTCTGGCATTCCTGTAGGCCCCCTTTAGGTGCTGGAAGGCTGCTATAAGGTCTCCCCAGAGCCTTCTCTTCTCCAGGCTGAACAACCCCAACTCTCTCAGCCTGTCTTAATAAAGATTACTTCCTTTACTGTCACATCAGGAAAGAGCACAGAGGGACCAGCAGTATTAAAGAAATAAACTACTGAATAGAATTTGATTTTGATAACAAAATTGAATCGTAACAGAAAGACTTTAAATATTTCTTTTCTCTGTCTTATTTTTGAAATCCACCGGCCTGGAATACCCCTTGGCGTCGGGGGCACAATGCTTTATTACACATGTTCAGGAGAAACAAGACATCAACAAAACTCTTTCCAAGTGGTCTGCAACTCTTCTTCCAGTAGTAGCCTAGTCTGTTCTGGGACAGGGATAACACCAGGTACATTTTTTCCTGGCTTTGTGGCCACAGTCACCACCCCTCAGCTACTTGCAGTCATATATCTTTAAGTGTCCCAGCTATGCATCTTATCCCATCTTCTCTTCATTGAAAAGCAACAAATATTTCTAACATGAAGACTTAGATTCTTAAATTATTGGATTGTTCTGGCAGGCAAATTGGGAGAAATTTGCCAATAGACATACCAGAAAAAAGCAGGGCACTTCCGACATTGCACAAAACAGACATTGGCCCTGCATCTTTCAGGGTTTGGTAAGTAAGCCACTAGTAGTGATTTTGCAGTTATGGAATGGTAAAAGCCCTAGAGTGGAGAAAACAAAATATTAGTTTGATTTCAGTTAATGCTTTCAAATGTGCAGATTCTGTGGTTTTTTCACCTTGAAGAACACAAGAAAGGCCACAATTCATAAATATTTTAGATTCTTACATTACTTTTTCAATCAAAGAAGATATTTATAAGGTGATTTTCTATCTGATATATAAAGTACTTTGGATGAGAATCTAGAACAGGATTCTAAAGCCATTGTGTTCAGAAGAAACATGAGAAGTGAATAGGTATGTCATAACCCTAGATTTCCCTACTCTTCCTATTCAGCTTGTAGTAACAGTAAAGATGAGTAAATACTAAGGCATTACTCAATTAGAGGTATCCATTACTAAGTCAGAAACAAAGATAAAGCTATTGAAATGTGAGTATTTGGCCCAAAATAAGGTATTAAGCCTGAAAAGTCTGATTAAAAATCATGCTTGCAAGTGGATATGCTTTCTGTGCACCCAATGTGAACATTAATGGCCTTTTTTTAACATCTTAATGATTAGTTGAAAAGTCTACTGAAGTCATTTGGTTCTCCACCTTAACAACCTCAGGCACAGACTTTTGTTTAGGTTGTGATGGACCTGAGAAAATAAACCCATAGTGGTCAATGTCATTTTTCTAATGACAAACTCAGTGAGAAGTATCAATGCATGAGGTACTGATACAAGGTCCCTTTTTCAGGAAGCTAGAAACTAACTACAGAAAGCTGCTCTTACAATCCAGTATTATTTCCATTCTCCATTTTACCCTCTGACTCATGCCCTTTGAGCCAGTCAAAGAAGAATATTGTCTATCCCTTCAGCTGGGTTATAGGTAATACCACATTTATCTTCTGTATCACTGAGGTTTTCTATCTGGAGTGAATACTACTGGAAGTAGTACCATTTTCATAACAAAAAAAATCCAAATGAAAACCAGCCAAAAGAAGTCCAAACCCTGGCACTGAGGACCTTATTATTCTGGGAACGACATAAATTAGTCCCATGAACAATTTTTGGTTTTAATCACAAAAAGCCGTTTCTGGTAGTATATGGGTCTGTTCATCGCAGAAATAAACCACTCTTTTAAAGAGCAATATAGAAAAGAAACATAGGTATTTTACATAGAAATACTCAAAAGAAGTGGGATAATTTCAGAAAGAAATATTCTAGGCTCAAAAAAATAGATTGGAAATGTGTGGCTTTTTAAGCAAAAAGAACTCTCTGACAAGCTCTTTCTTGAGTTTCCTTGGCAGTGATGGCAAATGAATTTCTGGAATGAGGGACCTAAGAAAAGAACATAAACTAATTTTTGGGTTGCATGTTGTATTTTTTTTTCTTTTGGGGGAGGGGTGTGTGTGGAAAATCTTTAGTATTGATAGCAATGTTATAATTCTTTCTGCCCCAAAATACAGGCTAACAATACATGCCATTGATATAACCAAGTTTTACAGACTTTGTTGATCAGAGACTATTTTCCAAAATTCTTACATAATTTCGAGTGTAAATATTCATGCCATCAGTCATATAAGTACTCATTCTCTCTATAAGAATTTTTTTCTTCTATGATGCAGAGTAGCTCATGTTGGTCTATGTGGATCTCCAAACTTCTTTTTTTCATTTCTTGGTCTGAACTTGTTTGAGTATTTCTCTGTCCCTAAAGAAAAGCAACAAAGCAGAGACAGATCTGCTGGAGAAATTCCTTTCACAATTTTCATGCATGAATGAGTGAAGCGGAAGAGGTTGGTGTACACAAAGAGATGTGGCATCTGCCGTGATAATTTTATGGCCTTATGCCTTTTTAACTTGAACCTAGTGTTTGGATCCTTTGGTAAGTAAATCTCGCAGAGGCCTGCTTTTATCCTGCTGGTAAGCGTATATCCTGCTTACCAGGATAAAATGTGGAAAACCAGTGGGTCTGAAAGCACAATGTTATGTTATTTTGCTGTTAATAACATAAATAAGAAAACACACCTTGTGAAGTGTAGGGTAAAAAAATCAGAAGCTGAAATTTAGGTCTATAAGATTAGGATGGCTTCAAAGTTCCAGCAACTTAATATTTTAAAAGCAAGATGCTATCTTCAAAAGGGAATGTGAATCTTCCTGGTAGTTATTTCTGGTAAAGAAATGGAGTGGTGAAACTCCAGCATTACTTATAACTTCATTAGAAATTATTAATTAGAGAAAAAAGTCTTCATACTTTTAACCATAGTAAAGTAGATTGGGAGATTTTTGTTTTGTTGGTTTTTCTAACTACATTTGAATCTGCAGTTGTATGCATGTTTTTCAAATTTCCTTGGGGGAAAAAAATGTTTGGAACAGATGCTGATTTCAATTACACTGCTGTAATCTTTGAAATCAATGAATTACTCCTGATTCAGTGTCACTAACAATATACAATATATTTTTATAGTTGAATATACAAAAAGGAAACTAAGAATTTGATGTCTTAGTCATTTCTGGGTTATTTTCTATTCAGTATGCACAAATGCCTCAATAATACTTTATTCCAGTTAAAGAAAATGTTTTGCAGATAAATTTACACCTAACCTAAGCGGGCCTAAGCTTCTACTGAATGCAGTAGAAATAATACTCTTTCATTAAATGTGATGTCTTGACACTGAACCTCCAGTTCCATTACTTGCTATTGTTCAGGCAACAGATTTAAAAATTACAAGTTCTCCTGCTGAACTGACGCTTCTGCTTTGGGAATTATCTCTTTTCTCACAGCTAAGTTCTCAACTAGTGTAAATGGTTTTGCATTATGATTACATTCACTGATTCCTACTGATTTTCAGTAAAAAACCAAATAAAATTAATAATATCATGAGGGAGTATATTTTATTATTAAAATTACTTAATTTTAATTAGGTTTTGGGAATGGTTTTTGTCTTCATTTCTTCAATAATGGTAATATGGGTTTGTGAAACTCATTGTGGAAAATACACATTGTGCTTTACATATTTTGAACTGCAAGATAGAAATATGTTATATTTACATTTTTTCACCCGCACACTCGTTTCAAGTTGCCTTTTTAATAATAGTAATAATAATGATAATAATGATAATAATAATAATACAACAGCTCAGTTTTTCAGCTCTTTTTCCTAGCACTAGCTGAAAGGTACTGTCTGTTTATAATGGAGTATTTTACTGATGATGGTGAAGCTTAATATTTTAAAATTAGTCTATTTTTAGCCTGTTCACTCTAGTTAGTCTAGGCTACACCAATAATTTTACAAAAAACAATAATTCCACTTTCCCTGGAGTGATATGCAAGGATCACCATGTATCTGAATCTGAGGCAACAGCACACACTTTGCAGAAGAGCCACTCCATCATTTGCATCATCTTTCTGATGTAAAAGTATGCCCATTATTTGCATTTAGTGTTTCAGGTTGAAGTGCTGATTTCCACCTAACATGACATTCCAAAAAATGCAAATAATGTACCAAGACAGAAACAAAAGTTGCGCCTTTAAGACGTGAAGTAATCATCATGCCCTATTTAGACCTTGTAAGACCTCAGCTGAAATACTGAGTCCAGTTTTGGTTACCATTTCAAGAGATGAACTAGTGGAAGAGAGCTCAGAGGAAAATAATGAGAATAACCAGAGTTCTGGAAAACAAAATCTACATGGAAAGATTGAAGGAACAGTGATCACAACCTAAAGAAGAAAGGCAGCAACAATCAGTTTGCAAATAAGTAAAAGGTGCTGCACAAAGGATGATTAGTACTCTGTTCTCCAGATATGTAATGATTATGACAAGTGACAGTCTAAAATGACAACAGAAGGATTTAGATATCAGAAAACAATAAAGACAAGTGTTAGAATAAATATTTTTTATGAGATTCTGGAGTGTCCATCATTAGAAGTCTTTGAGAACATGTATTAGAAATTACATAAATAAAGCTGATCCTACCTCTCCTAATCCCTTGCAGTCCAACTATTCCACAAGGACTTTAAATTATTCAGCTGAGACTTCTACTTGTTTCAGATTCATTGATTTATTGGTTCTCTGATTTCACCATCGTACTGTAAGTTGCCTGAACTCCCTATTTTCTGTGTTGGCCCCAAGATGTGAAAGTTGTTGCATACTGGATTTGCATCTCAGGATAATCACGCTCTTTTTGGTATTCCACCATTTCAAAACTGTAAGGGACCTCTTCTTCCTTTAAGAAAATAATTCCTTCTCATTTTAAGTTCACTTCAGGATGATGCCAGCTGCTTTGTATGCTGCATAAGCAAAGCCTTTTTGAAATCTCCACTAGAAATGAAACCTCAAGATGATGGAGATACAGCAATAACCATGGATGAAGAGTGTTCCACTCCTGACTTGTTTCTGCGACTGGTCTCTATGGCAAGGAATATGAAGGAACCAATGATCTGCAGCCTTGTTCAGCAAAATTATAATAGGGATTAAGTGACAGAGAACTATCTCACTTTGTTTTATTCTGGGCACAACTGCATTAAAAGCTGAGTGATTTCTACTTGGAGATGTTGCCTAGTCAAAAGAGAACTAATTGCTACAAAGAGAACATTACTTTCTGTTTTGAACACTCAGATGATGCAATCTACACCTCACCATCAAATATAAAAATTTTCAGATTTTGGGCAGAAGAAATAGCTATAAAAATTCACTGAATGTTACCACCTATGAGGCATATTAAGTCTTTGATCACATAAAGCACATCTTCTTCTTACCAGTTTATCTCAGAACATATCTGAGGGATCTAGCCTCTGTAAAACACAATACAATATATTTAAAGTGAAAATAGAATTACTAAATTAGTCTTTCAAAGTAGAGAAAACTAAACATTCTGATTGATAGGAAAATACTTTATCTGAGCTGATCAAATTTTTGGTTGCCACCTTTTTGACTGATTTGAGAGGGAGGGACTACACATCAGTCTTCATTGGTGGCAACTCAGTTACATAAGGCTATTTCTCAGCTGTATATAGCCTTTGCAGCTGACATGATTTGATGAAAATTTAGTCCACTAAAATGACACTGCATTCTATCATTTGTGTTAATTAATTAGAAATAAGTTAATTACACTTACTGCTTAAAATGTTCATATAACAACAAAATAGGGGGATACATAGCAGTGTATCCAATGAGCAGCTGTGAAAAAGGCCGAGACAAAATTATCTAGAAATCTCATGTTATGCTAATTATTCCTGGTGCTGTACTCAGTTGCTGGAAATAATTATATGAATTGTCTTCAAGCTCTATGCTTAAACAGGTGTGTACTGTTTACAGGCTACATTTAAAGGCTGGATGGATATTATGTATGCAGCTATTGACTCAAGAGATGTAAGTACTGCAAATATTTATCTTTTTTTCCTTGATGTCTCTCTATCAACAAGTGTGTCTTTATATATCTTCCAAAAGCAATTCATATCCATACAATAGAATGAAACAAAATTAAATTAACTAATATGAGATTCTGCTGTAACAAATTCTGGAAAACTAAATGCAAACTGCCAGACGCTGTCAGTAACAGATGGAATGGACAAAATACATTGATATAAATGACAGGGATGTTGTCCAAACACAAAATATTAAGGACATTTTTTCCAAGGTTGCTGCTTGTTCAGTTCAAATTTTCACATGATATCTTAGGAATGATATTTCACATTTTTTTTTCTTAGGTATTACAGCAACCCAAGTACGAAGACAACCTGTACATGTATTTGTATTTTGTCATCTTTATCATTTTTGGTTCTTTTTTCACCCTGAACCTGTTCATTGGTGTCATTATTGACAACTTCAATCAGCAAAAAAAGAAGATAAGTATTGTTTCATTTCTCTTCTAAGGATGTTCTAAAATACTGCATTTTTACATGTGCATGATATATGGAATGTACACCCAAGGTTTGTTCAAAATTGAAAAAGCTGAAGTATATTAGGATAAAAAATCTTACCAAGATGTAGTATGCATTAATGTCATAAGATTTTACATTGTAGTGAATGGGACAGACCCTCCTGTTTTCAATGTCCATTTTAGTCTTTCTCAAGTCATCTGCTTTTCTATGCCTGAACTTCATGAAATCTCCTTACATGATCAAACTTCTGATTTAGGCCTCTACATTAGAGCACTCGTAATTTCTTGATGATTTTCTTCTTGATTTGTAGTGATTCTATCAGCACACAAAAAATAGCTATGTGGTTATGAAAAATAAAGCATTATTTCATCACACTACTACAGATGCTGGTTTAATGATCCCAGGTATTCAAGTTCTATTTTGTGGCAACTGAACAGTCTGAAACTATACAGAACAGGAGTGGTTTGTAACTATCTCAGGGCCATTTTTTATTGTTTCATAGTGCAGATGTAGCTAATCTCACTGGTACGTGCAGGTGGTCTGGGCATCAGATGCTCATCTTTAAAATTATTTTCTGTAAATAGATAAGGTAATGAAAGCTAAAGGACATAAGCAGCTATGAATTACTAGTTTAATTTTACCTTACTGGACTTCATCACTTTCTTTGGGTTTATGTTAGTAAGAGAGATGCTAAGATTTTTGGAAGCTCTACATGTTAGAGGCCTAGATGTACATGGTTAGGGAGCCTGTCCAGTGTACTGTGCATGCACTCTCATGTCTTCAAGCTTCCCAAACACTCCTCCACAAAAGGGCTGCATCCAGTCCTATGTGTTCATAGACATTCCTGGAATGAGATGTCTGCACATATCTTTTATCCAGGAAAAATTTACTTCAAGACGTATGTGGAGTCTGATGGGGTTTCATTCAAGCTGTCTCTCCAAGAAAGTTACTATGGGCAGTGGATTTTGGTTAGGTTGCCATGAAAGACCCATAATTCTCTCTTTATCTTCACTGCCAGACTCCAAAGGCCAGTTCTCGCTTTTGCTAATCAGAACTTAATTGAACATGGAAGCTAATCAAGATAAAAAACTTGAAAGAGAGTATTTTGCTGTTAACAGTATCAAGAACACTTCAATCTTCAGCTCAGTTTCTCCAAAGTCTGATAATCTATCTTCTCAAAAACCTTGAAGACTTTGAGTCTCAGTGTTAATGTTGTGATTGGTAAACTAGAGATAGCTAAAGCATTAATGCATCCATGTACTGAAAACCTGACTTTGTCTGCTTCCACTGTTTCATTAAAATCACAGTTTAGAAGTGACAGTACTGAGCAGCCCAGACTATTTGAGTTTATCTCAGATGCTGTTTACTGCATCTCTTCCTACAAAAGAGGTATTGAAAAGGATTTCTTGGAGTTCAAGGAAAATATAGAAAAATGCTGCATTATTTTTAGTGAGATGCAATACTGGATGTTCAGACAACTTCTGGACTAAATGCATAGGTTGCATTTGATAGCAAAGAGATTTTTCCCAATTCGGTCTTCTTGATTTTCATGAAATAAATAAATAAATCACGTTTCTCTTTAAGAGTTTTTTCAACACTGCATATAAATGTGATTATAACCAGTTTTGATTTCATGTTTTTACTTTGGAGGTCAAGACATATTTATGACAGAAGAGCAGAAGAAATACTACAATGCAATGAAAAAGCTGGGATCCAAAAAACCACAAAAACCTATACCAAGACCAGGGGTAAAATTATTTATATACATCAGACCAATATCTGTTTATGAACAGCTGAGTTTTTATTGATATAGAGAGAGCAGAAATATGCCCATGTGAAAACTATCATTAACTAGTGTATCAGTCAGCAAAAATGGAAAATGAAAACACAGTAAAAAAAATTATTTCTCCTTGCAACCACTTTAGGTATGAATATACAGACAAAGAAGGTTGAACTAAGCTGTTGCATTCACTTTAATTTGACTACTCTGTTTAAGATCACTAGTTACATTTTTATTGAAGTCTCATAGGCCTTACTGCAAATACTTTTCTACTTTCTTCTAACAAGAAAAGAAAAACAATTACAGTTTGTATTGGATGTTTCTTTTTTTCTTTTCTCCTCAGAACAAATTCCAAGGCATGGTCTTTGATTTTGTGACACAGCAAGTATTTGACATCAGCATCATGATTCTTATTTGTCTTAATATGGTTACCATGATGGTAGAGACTGATGATCAGAGTGAAGAAATGGAAAATATTTTATACTGGATAAACCTGGTGTTCATTGTCCTTTTCACTGGAGAATGTGTCCTGAAATTAATTTCACTTCGCCATTACTATTTCACTATAGGCTGGAACATTTTTGATTTTGTAGTTGTCATCCTCTCAATAGTAGGTAAGTCTGGTTTATTAAACTAAAAAGTGAGTAAAATGAATATAAGATAAAACTCCTACTCAAATAGAGCTATATGGTTGGCTTTTCCCATTGCAAGGTTTACAACCAAGTCATGCAACTTTTCATTTTATCTAATAATTTACCTAATCTAACCATCAAAACTGTTACAACCATTCAACATATATTGCACCTGCAAATATTAAGTATAACAGAAATTATGCAAGTGGAATCTACAGAATATCTTTAAATGCTACATAGAACCACCAATTTTAAAACTATTTTTCTAAATTTCTACTACGATATGGAGATTAAGTGGTAACGTATCTTGGTTTTATTTTTTTTCTGTTTTAGGCATGTTTTTAGCCGAGATGATTGAAAAGTATTTTGTGTCCCCCACACTATTCAGAGTCATTCGACTTGCCAGAATCGGTCGAATCCTGCGTCTCATTAAAGGTGCTAAGGGAATCCGCACTCTGCTTTTTGCTTTGATGATGTCTCTTCCTGCTCTGTTCAACATTGGTCTGCTGCTGTTCCTGGTCATGTTTATCTATGCGATATTTGGCATGTCCAACTTTGCCTATGTTAAGAGGGAAGCTGGTATAGATGACATGTTCAACTTTGAAACGTTTGGCAACAGCATGATCTGCCTATTTCAAATTACCACATCTGCTGGCTGGGATGGTTTGCTAGCCCCAATTCTTAACAGTGGGGAGCCAGACTGTGACCCTAACAAAGCTCATCCGGGGAGCTCTGTTAAAGGCGACTGCGGCAACCCTTCTGTTGGGATTTTCTTCTTTGTCAGCTACATTATCATATCATTTCTGGTAGTGGTGAACATGTACATTGCTGTGATTTTGGAGAACTTTGGTGTTGCTACTGAAGAAAGCGCTGAACCCTTGAGCGAGGATGACTTTGAGATGTTCTATGAAGTCTGGGAGAAGTTTGATCCTGATGCAACACAATTCATGGAATTTGAGAAATTGTCTGATTTTGCAGCAGCACTTGAGCCTCCTCTTCACCTACCCAAACCAAACAAAGTCCAGCTTATTGCAATGGATCTACCCATGGTAAGCGGTGACAGAATTCACTGCCTTGACATCTTGTTTGCTTTCACAAAGCGTGTTTTGGGGGAAAGTGGGGAGATGGATGCCCTCAGAATACAAATGGAAGATCGGTTTATGGCATCCAATCCTTCAAAAGCTTCCTATGAACCAATTACAACCACATTAAAAAGAAAACAGGAGGAGGTATCCGCTGTCATTATTCAACGGGCTTATAGACGTCACCTTTTAAAACGAACAGTTAAACAAGCTTCCTTTATCTATAACAAAAACAAAACTGAAGGAGGGGCTGGTCAGGGTATGAAAGATGAAATCCTTATTGACAAGTTAAATGAAAACTCATTTACAGAAAAAACCGATATAACTGCATCAACAGCAGTTTGTCCACCTTCTTATGATCGTGTAACAAGGCCAGTCAAAGAAAAGCATGAAAAGGAAGATAAAGATGTTCAGAAATAAAAGCAAATACCAAGCAAAATCATCTATGTGCAAAATTGTTCATACCCTGTAAGGATCATGTGTTTGTGTCAACAGGACTCCTGCTGGAGGTCTATGCCAAACTGACAATTTTTACAAATATACTGTACATTAAAGGTCAGTGCCTATTAAAAGACAGTGACCCCTCGTCAGTGACTGTGACTGTGATATGGGGAAACAACCTTGACAGGAGGTTACTGTTCTCACTACCAGCTGACACTGCTGAAGAGGAGAGAAAAAATGGCTACTCAGACTGTAGGGACCAGTAAAAGGGGTGCAAACCAAGTATTTGTGTGTTTAGCATAAAACAATACAGTAACTGTATCCACTGTTTGCATTTCAACTGCCACACACATCATATTTTTACAAAATCTGTGTTGGTGGATTCATCTTATTTTTATTCATATGTTGTTTATTATATGTGACTATTTTTGTAAATGGGGCTTCTGTTGGGGAAGGGCATTAAGTACACCTTTACAGGTACAAGGGCCAGGTGTTCTATTATACGACTAATATACACACTGAAATTATTTGCATGAAGGCATGCTGCACTTATAGATCATGCATGAAAATAACATTAAGTCACAAAGAACAACAGATTTTTTTAGCGCAGTGTTTCTGGAAAGGAATAACAGATTTTGAGGTGCTTAATTAATGTATTCATATTGTACCACATCCAAACAAGTCTGGGTATGCCTGTAAAGTCCCCTATAACTCACAAGAACAGTAGAGAGAGATTATTTTTTGCACAGACCATTAATTTTCAGAAAGTGCAAACTTCTTTCTAGGCCTGGAGTCACAGATTTTGTCTTTGTCAAATGTCTTTCTGCCTATGAGTACTAAATGAATCTGCCTCAGCCCTCCAAATTGATCAAAAAGAGCCCTTTATAAAGTTGTTCTGCTTTATCCTGCAGTATTGTTTAGCCATCTTCAGCTCTCAGTAAGGTTGATATTGTACCTGTTAATGAAAAGCCCTCTGCTATGTAAATAGTAATTTTTAACCTGTGGTGCATGTTTGAGCAAACAGATAATGACCTTAGCACATTTATTGCATCAAATATGTACCACAATAAATGTAGTGTGCAAGCATTCAACAGGTAAAATTATGTATTATCTACCATTATAGATAGTTTGGATGCTATCAGTGCATGTTTATATTGCCTATGCTGCTGTTCCTTTGACTGTCCAGGATTCTTAAATATGGGAAGCCATACATCAGAGCTAAATGAAATAAACTACTCAACAAGACCTCATTCCTCCATACCATTAAGCAATATTTTGCAGCTATTTAGGAGCTTATTTGTTTTACATTTTTGAATTTTCAGTGAAAAGCATATAGTGTATATCCAAACTGTACATACATGTTGAAAACTACTAAAACTGTTGAAAATAATGTTAGAATTTTATAAGCAAATATAAATACTGTAAAAATCATTTTATTTTATTTTTCAGCATTATGTACATAAAACAAGAACTGAATTTTATCTTCAGGTTGATAACACACCATTTTTGTTACTTTCTGTCCATAGCACTTTTTCACAGAAGAACTCCAGAGAACAAGATATAACTAAGAGAATGGATAGCTGTATGTTCTTATTTTTTACAATATCTGCACACATGTCAATACTTTCTGCGAAACAAGTTTATAATTTGCTTCTAAAAATCTAAGGTTTTTTTGCAGTTGGGAAATGGTGTAAAGTTAAAATTGAATGTCTAAGCAGTGCCTGCATCATAAGTTTTCAGATACAACCTTTCTTTCACAGAACCCTTAATCTTTTCTCATATTTACTCACATATTTTTTTTCTGATTCATGATGCACTAGAACAGTTCTAAATGTTATCTTGGGTCCACAATATTTTTTCACAAAGAGAAAGTAGCAAAATTGTATAATCCAACACATCAGGACATTTTATGTTTCTTACACAGGAAAATTAAATATAGATTACTTTTATTAAAATTATTGACTAATACCGTATTAGTGAACTGCATGCAGGAAAATGCTACTATTACCCTAACTGATGCTAAAGAACATTATTAATGCGCCGATATAATAAAGATTCCATTTTTTATTGTATGTTCCTTTTGTCTTTATTATCTGACATCAATATAAAAAAGGTATGCTTCTAAAACCACAGAATGAGAGGATACTGAAAACCTTTACAGCCAGCTATACTGTTTTTCCACGTAAGCAAATTCTTGGGACTTGCTTGTTAGTCACCAATGAGGAGTTTCTAATTCAATGCACGTTAGACACTGAGCATGATGATTCTGCATGTATCAATAGTAGTGCCCTGAGTAACTTCATGAGTTCATGCAGCAGCTCCATGCAGTGGGGTACTCAACCATCAAATACCAGAGCTGTCCTGAGTGTGTCCCAGAAGGCTCAGAGCATTTAGAGGAATGAGAACTGAGCATTCATGAGTTTAGAAAGAGAAAAAGAGGACTGAAAATAGTACTAGATACATGACATTCCCCGATTTGGATGATGGAACCAGTTTATTCTTGCTACTTACTATCCACAGATAGGCTATAGTACATCTTCTATTCAAGTGGATTTCTGAAAAAGGTGAATTGGCATCAGAGTGAATAACCATTGGTCTTTTCCTGAGGAATTTTTAAGAATCTTTCTGGAAGCACCACATTACTAGAAGCTATCATTTGTGGATACTGATATGGAAAAATGCAAATGCAGCTGGAAAGTGGGCTTGTTGGTTATTCTTTATCAATTGCTTCAGTGAATTTCTGAAAATGTTCATTTTATATGCTTACATATTTTTATGTTGCATTCTCCTACAGCTTTCAGAACATGGTTTAGTGGACATAGTTGATGGTTGGACTTGATGATCTTGCAGGTCTTTTCCAACCTAAATAATTCCGTGATTCCATGATTCTATGAACTTACAATGAAAACACTGAGAGGTGAATACTGAACCTAGTATAAAACCAGTTTATGAGCAATTGTATTCCATATGCTTGCTCAGTTGCTAATGCAGAAATAAAATTTGATAGCACCTTCCCTGAAACTTTTCCTTCAAATTGTTCTGAAAAGCATTATTAAAAAAAAAGTAAAAAACTTTGATAGAAAAGTGTAAGTATCAAAATTAAAAGATAAATATTTTCAGATTAACATGTAGATAAAATATGTCTTAAAAGGTTAGCTTAAAAGTGTGTAAATTATCCACAAACTGACAGGAATAATAGACTGCTTTAAGGTAGTAAATTGAATAATATTTTTTAATATTCTATACACAGCTTTTTAAACTTTGCTTTTCTCAAGGAAGTAGCTTTAAGATAAATGAGAACTATGCTACTGTCACTGCAGATCATAGGTCATGGCCAGCAAAAATACTTGTTTCTCATACCTGCTTTAGGTTTTCAGTGTTACAGAAGCTGAAATGTTACTTCAGAACAAGTAGAGCACCACTTAAACATAACAAGAAATTTTGAGGATCATCTTGGCCAATAAGGGAAAACCAAATATTCTTACATGTTACTTCTTTGGCACCTTCCTGACACTGGGGATGAGAAGTGTGTAATGGAGTAGTGCCATGTGTGATGCATTTGTTAGGAAAGCTGACTCTGAGCGCTCCCCGCTAGAAGAATCAGCTTCACCTACCAATTCAGTGCGAGGTGGGTTTGCCTCCTTGTACTAAATGGCATTATTGACGGTTTTCATGTTGCACGGACAACACAACCGTTCTAAAGTACCGTTATTTAGCAATGGTTGGTTGTTTCTGGTGTCTAGAAACAATGACTGAGGATGCTTTCACCTCCAGGGGAAAACCTGAATTTTACTAGTCTTTGCAACTCTGTAATTCCCTAGGAGGAAAGAAAGAGGGGAAAAAAAAAGGGGGGGGGGGAGAACTTCTGTATTTGATTTTACCCCATTGCTATTTCATCTCTACAGAGAATCTTCACATAACTTGAAGTGCTCAGCATTGAGACACTTTATTAAACATATGGAGTGTGAGCCACTTCGTCGTATGTCCAGCCAAAAAAAGCAAGAAAACGAATTCTCAAAGCTTTCCGTCCAGCATTCAGGCAGTGACTGCCTGACGGCTGTAAGCCCTCCTGAGGGAGAGCCGGCGAGACCACTCGTCCCCGCCGACAGGGGGCGCCGCACCCCCAGCCGGCACCGCCCGTCAAGGTGCGTTCAAACCCCTCCCCCTCCGCCTCCCACCCAATGGTACGGGACCTCCCGTCCAGGTGGTCCCGCCCCCATCTCCCGAGAGCCCAATAGGCCGCCAAACACGTTCCGGCGTTTTCCCCAAGTTTTTCTTCCCGTGTCTCTCCCGCCTCCTTTCCCTCCAAACCAATGGCAGCGGGCGCTCCTGCTAGCCAGCCAATGGCAGCGTGCGGCCAGGCTCTCCCTCGCCCTTCCGGAGGGCCCCCTCAGCGGCGCTGGGTAGCAACGATGGACGCCGAGGTGCAACAGGTGGGCGCCGCCGCCGGGCGCCGTCCCGTCCCGTCCCGGGCCTCTCCGCGGGCGTGGGGCTGCGCAGGGGCTGGGGCCGGCGGGGGGGAGGGCGGCGAGCCGCAGGAGAGGGCGGTGGAGCCTCGGGCAGGAGGGCGAGCGGCCGGAGGAGGCCGGTCCGGGACGGTCGGCGCGGTCTCCTGCCGTCCCGGGGTGAAGCGTTTGCACGAGTGAACCGAGGCCGCCTCTCCCGCAGGCCCTGCTCAATTATTACTGCCAAGAAGGCTACTTCCACCACGTCCGGGCTGCGGCGGATGAGGCGCTGGGGCGTGTGGGCAGCGATCCGGTGTTCCTTTTCTACCGGGCCTACGGCGCCCTGAGGACAGGTAACGTGGGGCTGGGGAGCTGGTTGTTGAGCACTGTCCCTCCGCCACCCTCCCAAAACGCTGGTCTTCCTTGCGTCACCAAATGCAGTCTTTAGTCTACTACACGGAAAGAAAGCAGTGTTATGGAGACTGAATGTTTTTCATGTTGAAAAGGTTACTACTGTTTCATGATCTATCACTGCCCCCCACCCCCCAGTTTGAATGAAATTGATCTAGAGGACATGGTGCTGAAGTTAGAAATAATGAGTATCTCTCCTTTTTTTTTTTTTAAATGGTTACATGAATGTCAGTCAGGTAAACAGGTTCCTCGGAGGGAGTTTGAGCCCTGCCCAAATGCCAGTTGCATTGTATCACAAAGATAAATTTGCTTGTTCCGGCTAATATCTCTTCCCTTCAGTACAGCTGCATCTAACTTCGTTGTATTCATCTGCCTCACAGGAGCTGACAGCTAATACCTATTGGGAAGATCTTTGTGTACATTAAACTGTTTTGAGGAGTTTATTTAGCTAAATCCATATTTCAAGTCTGTCACAGAATACTAACAAGTAACCCAAAGTGGAGGAGGGCTGTGGCAGGGGGCTAGGAAGGATTCAAAAGATTTTGAGGTGGTCGGTCTGTTTCCAAACTCCCTGACTTTGTTTGTTTGTTTTACAATCATACATTCCTGTTTTTCAAGTTATTGTCTCTTCTATTGATGTTCAAAAGATTCGCACAAACAAGGGAAAAATCCTGGCTATATAAAGAAACAGGAACAAAAAGAGCTGCTCAATGCCCTGTATAAAACAAATAATAAAGATGATTTTCATCTTTATGGCAGTTGGCAGAACTAGCACATAACTCCTTTCAAGTTCTCTGCATTGAGGTGCTTTTTTCTTTCTTGTGTCTTTTTGAAAGACTTGCACAAACAAGTGAAAATGCATGTGTGAATAA